TTCTGTCTCTCTGCTTCCCCCCCCCCCCCGACTTTGGCAGCTGGTGACCCGAGGGTGCGAAACCCGGGAGCTGACGCTGCTGCGGAACGGCGTCGGGCAGCTGGGCTTCCAGATGGACCACGAGGGGTTCGTGACGGAGGTGGAGCGCTTCACCTTTGCCGAGAAGGCCGGGCTCCAGCCCGGGGCTCGGCTGGTGCGTGTCTGTGAAAAGCCGCTGCCCGGCTTAAGCCACGCCCAGACCACGGAGCTTCTTCGTACGGCCAAGAAGGTCACGATCACCGTCGTGCCGCCCGACGAGAACGGCAAACCCAGGAGGCGAGTGTCCGTGGCGGGTGGAAGGACTGGTTGGTCTGGTGCGGAGACGGGAGAGGGGCCTTCTCGGTGGCTGCTCCCGGAGCCTCTGGAACTCCCTGCCACTGCAGGCCAGGCTGGGCCCCGTCCAGGCTCTGCTTGTCATTTTAGTATGTTCTCCGGTTCAATGCAAGGTTGGGCAAAATTCAAGTGTGTATTTCTTGCCCCTGGAATCTATGTAGCCCTGAAAAACGACGGGGTAAGAGCTAGAGAATACGTGAAAAATGAAGGAAGCCCCATTTTGTATTTCCGGCCTAGGGGAGATGATTTTGGGGGGGTTCAAAACTATGAAGGCGTGCCACAGAAAGAGTTCAAAATTATGAATCGTTGGCCTTGTAGGACTTTCTGTAAAGTAAGAGTGGGGAACTTTAGAAGCCTTAGCATTTTCCCCTCCCCTTGGGCACCAAAAGATGTTTTTGAAAAACTATGGACCTCCTTATCTGCGGGACCAGTATCTGCTCATTCACTGACCCATGGTCTGAAAATATTTTTTAATTTTTTTTAAAATGCCCCCAAATGTATATTTTTAACCATGAAGTTACCAGAACGGGCCACTGGAGGGAGACAGAGACCAGACCATACGTAACTTTTGTGATCGTTTGCTATAAACCGCGTTTTTCTGCATCCACGAGGGGCTGAACCCCCGCGGGTACGGGGAGGGGGGGTTCTACTGCATATGTCTGGAAGTCCACTTTTGCTTTGGAAAAAGGGTGTTTTTTTATTGGTGTTAGCTGTTCAGAGGCCCCTGTGCCTCTCACAGAAAATGTGTATTTCGCAGGTTCCAACGAATAGCAATTTCAACAAATTTTATTATTATTATTTTTCCCGGAAGGAGTGAGGGGGGGCCTCGAAGAAGGCTGGCAGCCCAAACCCACTCCGGGTGGGGTGGGGACACACACACACACACACACACACACACACACACACTGACCTCCTCTTTTCTGTTCTTCTTCGTTTCTGGCAGGAGCTTCTCGGAGTTGTACCAAAAATCGTTGCAAGAGAAGAGGCGAAGCGAGCCGCCCGCCGGGGAGACGGAGCTGACCCGGCCGGAGAGCGACGCGGGATTCAAACCCGCCACCCTCCAGCTCCTGCACTCGCTCTCCTTGCAGGACGGGCCCCCTCACAGCCTGGCAGAAGAAAGGACCGAGTTTTTGCGCAGCCACAGTGACCGGAACTCAGGGCCTCCAGACCCGTGCGTCCCTTCCTCCCTCAACCCCCACCAGGCACCCCTGCTAGATTCTAGATTACAGTAGGACCCCCGTATCCACGGGATCAGTATCTGCAGCCGGAAAATATAAAAAGAAAAATGCTAACAATACATATTTTCATGATGTATTTACCAGAATTGGCCACTAGATGGTGCCAATTGTGAGAATACTTATTTCTGGTAGGTTTCCCCCTCTTTAGTCATTCTGTCTATGGTGTTTGCTATTATCCACGGTTCTCAGCATCCACGGGGGGCTTGAAACGAATCCCATGGAGATACGGGGATCTTACTGTAGTAGAAGTTGGATCGTAAGTAGGGGCTTTAGGAAATTACCTTACGATCAAGCAAGCTAGATAAAAATTCAATGATTTTTAAAAAAATCAAATTGATTGAAATACTGTAGTTTAAATTTTTAACCATCCATTTTTTTAAAACCTTACATTGCCCCTGCAGCAATTTTGATTTTTTTAAAATGGAAATTGTCACCCTGCAGCCAACTTAAGATCATGGTTCCATCTGGTTCCGTATAGTTGGCTCTGGCCGGCAGCCACTCAGGAATTTGAACTCGGGTCTCGCCAAGTGCGTTGCAGTGGATAAGAGTGACGGATGAGGATTCCGGGGGCCTGGGTTCGAATCTCTGCTCAGCCATGGAAGCTCGCTGAGGGGAGGGGGGAATGGAACTGGTAAAGCCAATCCTTAAATATCTCACTTACCTTGAAAGCCCTTTTAGGATGGCTTGGAGTGAGATGATGAAACATCACAACAACAATCTGAATCCCCCTGTCTTCTCGTCCACAGGATACCATCTCAGGATGTCCATGAAGTGCCCAAACCTCCCCCGGATCTCATCTTGGCTGCAACCCCCAAGCCCTTCCCAGAACAGGAGACAGTAAGTATTTCATTCAACTCTAGACGTTTTATTTATTTATTTATTTATTTAAACTATTGTTAAACCCACCCCCTTCTCCTTAAAAAGGACCCAAGGTGGATTGCGGCAATTAAAAGACAGCGTTTAAATTAATTACAATGAGTATACAGTAGGGCCCCCTTATCGGTTGGATCAGCAGCCACAGTTTCACTTATCCACAGTCTTAAAATACTAAAAATATTTAAAAGTATCTTTGCATGTATTACCAGAACCGGCCACTAGAGAGAGCTAGAGACCATGCTATGAAGACTTGTTACATACAGTAGTTTGATCTCTGGCTCCTTCTACTGGCCAATTCTGGTAATACATGTAAGGACACTTTTTTCTGGATTTGTTTGCTTTCGCCATGCTGTCTATGGTGGTCATTCTTATCTGAGGTTCTCAGCATCCTCAGGGAGCTTGGAAAAAATCCCCCACAGATATTTGGGGGGGGGGGTTCTCTTGTATAAAGGTTGGATTTAGTCACAGCAGAGAGCTGAAGCCCCTCAAGGAATGTCCTAAATATTTTTCAGGATCCCGTTGTCTGTCTCTAACCCTCTTTTTGCCCAGTTCAGAGGACACGGGGTGTATGTGTTCCTCCGTACGGTGGAGCAGGGCCACAAGGAACTCATTTGTGGGGCCAGCTTAGGGACCAACAAAGCCCATCGGCTCGTCCTTTCCTTAACCCCTGCCTGAGTGCGTCCTTGAACAAGGGGTGGGTTGTGGAAATGACCGGGCTAGAAGGCACCGTCGTCCACCGAGACGTCTTTCACCTCAACCCTCAGTCTTCCAAGCAGGCCCTTCATCCTTCTGGAACGTCCTAGTTTGGTGACTACGGTCCCCATCGTCCTCAATGAGAATGCCTGTGCTGGCCGGAATTGGTCATGGGGGGGAGCGATATTTACAGTCCTCTGCATTCTTCCTGTTATGGTGGCCACAGGCCAGAGGGGGCAGGATATACCGTAAATCAAACAAGCAAGGAAATGGATGGATGGATGGATGGATGGATGGATGGATGGATGGATGGATGGATGGATAGATAGAGTGGATTGCGGCAATTAAAAGACAGCGTTTAAATTAATTACAATGAGTATACAGTAGGGCCCCCTTATCGGTTGGATCAGCAGCCACAGTTTCACTTATCCACAGTCTTAAAATACTAAAAATATTTAAAAGTATCTTTGCATGTATTACCAGAACCGGCCACTAGAGAGAGCTAGAGACCATGCTATGAAGACTTGTTACATGCAGTAGTTTGATCTCTGGCTCCTTCTACTGGCCAATTCTGGTAATACATGTAAAGACACTTTTTTTCTGGATTTGTTTGCTTTCACCATGCTATCTATGGTGGTCATTCTTATCTGAGGTATTCAGCATCCTCAGGGAGCTTGGAAAGAATCCCCCACAGATATGGGGGGGGGGTTCTCTTGTATAAAGGTTTGATTTAGTCAAAGCAGAGAGCTGAAGCCCCTCAAGGAATGTCCTAAATATCTTTCAGGATGGATGGATGGATGATGGATGGGTGGATGGATGGATGGATAGATAGATAGACGGACAGGTAGGTAGGTGGGTAGGTAAGTAGGTGGGTGGGTGGACAGATAGATAGGTAGGTAGGTAGGAAGTAGATGGATGGATGGATGATGGATGGGTAGGTGGCTAGATGATGGATGATAGATAGATAGATAGATGGACAGATAGGTAGGGCTGTAGGTAGGTAGGTGGACAGATGGATAGGTAGGTAGGTAGGAAAGTAGGTGGATGGATGGATGGATGGATGGATGGATGGATAGATAGAGAGATAGAGAGATAGATAGATAGATAGATAGATAGATAGATAGATAGATAGATAGATAGATAGATAGATAGATAGATAGATAGATAGATAGATAGATAGATAGATAGAGGGTGACTTTTAACCAGGGAAACCCATTTGATACCAGAAAGATGACAATGAAGCCCTTCTTCATGTACGGCTGCCTTTCTCCCAGGAGCATCCGGACGATCCCGTCGTGACCAGGAAGGTCCCCGTCACAGACCCAGAAGGCCAAGGGTCCCTGCCCTCCGGGGGAAAGACCTCTCCCCCTTTCGAGCCCATCGAATCCGACAAGTTCCTGCCCCGGACGCTTTCCCTGCGGAATTCCATCAGCAAAAGTAAGGGCTTTCTCTCCACCCCTCACCCCCGGATCGCCTTCCCTTCTTCTCCTTCCACCCCCCCAGCTTCCCAAGGGTGGAAGAGGCTCCCGACGAGGGCTTTATTAGAAGTGGCAGGGAGGGGGGAAACGGGTCTGAGGAGGTTATCCTCTCCATTTAGTCCTCTCCGAAGCCGGCGAGTCCCTGGAAGACGAGTGGGAATCCATCGCCAACCTGGCGTCGGCCTGCAACAGCATCCTCGAAGCTCTTTCCCGGGAAGGTGAGAGCTGGAAATGGGGATGGGGGGGATGTATTTCCGGGGGGCGGGGGGTTGCTGCAGAGTTTTGATTCCAAGGTGTGAGTGATTCCAAGGTGTGAGTTTAAGGTCTACTTTTTCTTGGACGCCTCCCGCATTGGAGCCCTCCCCATCTCCCGAGGTCCTCGGTTCCGTTGTCATACCGCTCTAACAGAAAGTTTTTCCCGATCTTCAGCCGAAATCTGGCTTCCTGTAATTTGAGCCCATTATTTATTATTATTTGATTGGATTCTAGGTCCAATCAGGATTATAACAGGATGATAAGCCTAACCCCATCATCTTTCACTAGCCAGAGTTTTTGGCAGAGAAAAGTTTTTTTCCCCGTCGTCTCCGACCTGATCCTTTGGAACGCGGAACATCTCTGCCCTTCGGTCTCCGGGTTCCCGTGGAGCCTTCCTAAGCAGGAGGGCTCTATCTGTCAGGATCTGTCCTTGCCGTCGTTACCTGCGTGTTTCTCTTTTTCCGTCCCCAGGCCAACACATCCCAGAAAACCGGGATCCTTTCTGCACCGCCGTCCCGAGAGGGGCAAGTCAGCCGCAACACCACGAAGAGTAAGAAACAACTTTTGTGTGTGTGTGTGTGTGTGCGTTACTGTGTGTAAGCCTTATAGGGCAGTGGTCCCCAACCTTGGACCTCCAGATGTTCTTGGACTTCAACTCCCAGAAATCCTGGCCAGCAGAGAGTGTAGCCTGCTTGGCTCGGCAACAGGGTTATAAGCCTAACCCCATCATCTTTCACTAGCCAGAGTTTTCGGCAGAGAAAAGTTTTTTTTCCCCATCGTCTCCGACCTGATCCTTTGGAACTCGGAACATCTCTGCCCTTCGGTCTCCGAGTTCCCGTGGAGCCTTCCTGAACAGGAGGGCTCTATCTGTCAGGATCTGTCCTTGCCATCGTTACCTGCGTGTTTCTCTTTTTCCGTCCCCAGGCCAGCACATCCCAGAAAACCGGGATGCTTTCTGCACTGCCGTCCCGAGAGGGCCAAGTCAGCCGCAACACCACGAAGAGTAAGAAACAACTTTTGTGTGTGTGTGTGTGTGTGCGTTACTGTGTGTAAGCCTTATAGGGCAGTGGTCCCCAACCTTGGACCTCCAGATGTTCTTGGACTTCAACTCCCAGAAATCCTGGCCAGCAGAGGTGGTGGTGAAGGATTCTGGGAGCTGTAGTCCAAGAACATCTGGAGGCCCAAGGTTGGGGACCACTGTTATAGGGAACAACTGAGGTGTTTGACTTTTTTTTCCTCTTATTTTATTTTCTCTTATTATTTTGCACCTCCGATGAGGAGGCCACGCTGGGGCGGCTCGCAGCATTTAGCCGCCTAGAGTGGTCAATATGACCAGATAGGCGGGGGATAAATGGAATGAATGAATGAATGAATGAATAAATAAATAAATGAATGAATGAATGAATGAATGAATGAATGAATGAATGAATGAATGAATGAATGAATGAATAAATTTTGAAAAAATTTGACAAGAATAACCAGTGTGAAAAGCAAACCCTCTAAACTAGAAATTAAAAATAAAAACAAAATCAACCGTCCCCCTTCAATCCGTGTTTTAAAACTAATTTATAAAGCCGGCAGCGTTTATGACCCGTTCGTGGCGCGTGGTATCCAGCGGCCTCTCCTCGGGTGAAGGATTTCCGGAAGCCTGCCGTAATAGCAGAGTTTTTAATGATTTCTGAAAGATTCTGAATTATGGAGAATGGCATTTATAGTCTGGGAAACAGCCTTTTTTTCCCCAAACTCTGGCTTCTCCTGTCTGCTTCCTTCCTCGGCGTTAGTGTATCCTACACATTAATAAAGACTGAAAAAATCTGGGCGTGTTTAGCCTTGAGAAAACAAGACCGAGGGGCGACCGGAGAGCCGTTTTCAAAGACTTGAAAGGGTGTCATGCCAAGGAGAGGGAAGGATCTGTTCTCGATCAACCCCAGACACGCAAGCATGGGGCCAAAGTACAGAAAGACGGATTTCAGCTGAATATCAGGAAAAACTTCCTAACTGTTAGAGCGGGAACCCATGACCTCGGAAGGTGGTCAGCGCCCCAGCGCTGGGGGCAATTCTAGAGAAATTTAGACCACCTTCTGTCCGATCTGCTTTGATTGGGATTCCTGCCTTGAGCAAGGGGGTTGGACTGGATGGCCTTAAGAGGCCCCTTCCAACTCCGTTATTCTACGATCCTCTGGATGGCTGTCAAATGTTTATATATTGTGTTTCTTCCGTAGTCATGGGTTTTTCACTTCTTCATGTTCAATGGCACTCCTGCTTTGGCCGGTTCTTCTTTCCCGTTCAACAGAAGAGACGGTTTAAGCAAAAATAAATAAAATTAATAGTAGTATGGGGCAGTTGATGACTGGATCGTGAGGTCGGCAGGGAAGGGCTGGCGTGGAGGATCGGTCTTGGTCCTCCACCAGCCTGGATGGGTCGCAGGCGTGTGTGTCCCCATCTGTGCAAAAGCGGAACATCATGTTGCCGTTTTCCTCCTTCATCCTCTTCTTGTGAACCCTTTCAGGTCCCGGCATGATCTGAGCCTGGCCGACAAGGTCTTGCATTTGGAATCGACCCTCAAGAAGCTGCAGGAAGACCTCCAGAGGGTGAGAGGGAGAGAGAAGAGGGGGGAAAGGCGACCAGACCAAAACTAGATGCAGAGAAAAAAACGTTTTCTGCTCTGCTAAGCCTTCCACCGGATCTCTTCTCAATGGGGGTCCCGTGTTTGTCACAAAGGTTCCCAACGACCAGACCAAACTTAGATGCAGAGAAAATACCGATTTCTTGCTCTGCTAAGCCTTTCACCGGATCTCTTCTCAACGAGGGTCCCGTGTTTGTCACAAAGGTTCCCAACCGTGGGTCCCCCAGATATGCCTGGACTGCATCTCCCAGAAATCCTTGCCCGCCCAGCTGCTGGCGAAGGCTTCTGGGAGTTCGAGAAGCCTCCGCGTCCCAGAATCCCCAGGGCCCTGTTTGCTGTGCAAGTTCTGGGTCCTTTCTCGTCGGTTTGTTCCTTTACAGTGGTGCCTCGCTAGACGATGATAATCCATTCTGCTGAAATCGCTGTTTAGCAAAATCATTGTCTAGCGAAAAGCCTTTCCCCATTGGAATGCATTGAAACCTGTTTAATGCGTTCCAATGGGGAAGAATCGTCGTTGTCTAGCGAAGATCGGCCATAGGAAAGCCGCTTCGCGAACCGCCGATCAGCTTTTTAAATCGCTGTCTTGCGAAGCTTAGGTCCCGAAAACACCCGTTTTACGAGCGCGGAGGGAGCTGTCAAAATCGTTGTCTAGCGAAAATTGGTTTGCGAAGCAGGGACCAAACATTGCCCAGCGAAACTCCCCCATAGGAATCGCTATAGCGATTGCAAAAAGTCAATGTCTAGCGAAAAAACCGCCATGCGGGGTAACTATCTTGCGAGGCACCACTGTATTTTATTGATTTCAAATATTTTTTTTCTACCCTTTTTTTGTCCTTAAAAATCACCTGAGGCGGCTGTTTTCAGAACCTGCTGCCGGTGGTTCTCTGCCGCCGGAGTGGCCTCCGACCCAGTCCGTCAGGCAAGATTTGTTGAAGATGATGGTGATCATCATCATCTGAGACCTGCAGAGCTGGAAGACGGATCCTATGGATCGTCAAAACCAGACCCCCTGTCAGGCAGGCCCCAGTGGGGGATTCAAACTCCCAAACTCTGGGGTGTGCAGCCAGATGTGTAAACCGCTGAGTCCTATGGCAGCCGCGCGGGGCCCTGTATTTGTGCGTCTTCTGTTTCTGCTCCTCCAGATGTTCATCTGTGCCCGGACGGCTCCCGCCAGCGGGTGGGTTCAAGAGGGCAGGATGTGGGTTTGCGGTGTTTTCCTTCGGCCTGCTGTGATGATTGGATGGTTCGGGGGGTTTGGTTTCCCCTCGAAGAAGAAGAACGGCTCCCGCTGTTTTATGTCCTGTTGTTTTCATACAGAACAGCCGGGCTGCGATTATCAAAATAAATAGCATTCGGGGACCTGCTTACCCGGAAGGTTTCGCCGCAGCCGTTGGGAGCCGTGGGCGCGGGGTGACAAAGCAGGAAACAGTGACGAAGCGTGCCTTCTGCCTGTCTGTATCTGCTCTCCGTTCTTCTCCACTTTGGAGGAAACGGGTATAAAAAGTCATACTCTAAGAAGGGAGAGCCTCTGGGTTGTTGAGTCCAGCCCCTGCCAGCAAAGCACAGGGGGATTCGAACTCCGAACCTCTGAATCAGACCAATGAGCTATCTTGCAGTTAACTCTCTCTGTGAAGAGTAAAAGATAGATCTCGCTGTTTTGGGCACAGGACCCTTCCAAGCGGCTCACGATTATACAGTGGTGCCCCGCATAGCGACGCTAATCCGTTCCGGGTAAATCGTCGTTATCCAGAAACGTCGCTATACGGGGCAAAAAAACCCATAGGAATGCATTAAACTCTGTTTAATAAACTCACCGCTAAGCGGGAATCCTCCATAGGGCCGCCATTTTCGCTGCCTCGGTAAGCGAGGAATCGGCGCGAAAACGCTGCGGGCGGCCATTTTCTTGATCTGGCGGCCATTTTGGAACCGCCGATCAGCTATTCTAAAACATCGCAATGCGAAGATCGGTAAGCGAAACGCTTACTGATCATCGCAATGCGATGTTTACCCTATTTAAACATCACAATGCAATCGCAAAAGCGATCACAAAAAATGTGTCGCTATGCGGATTCGTCATTAAACAGTGCGCTCGTTAAGCGAGGCACCACTGTATTTTTTAAAATACCCTGGTAGACATGAGTCGCGTCGGTATCCCGTCTTTCCTCTACGTCAGGGGTTCCCAGCCTCGGGTCATCCAGGTGTTCTTGAACTACGACTCCCAGGAACCTCCGCCTTGCAGCTGCGCGGTCCCGGGTTTCCCGGGAGTCGCCGTTCATAAACGCTGGGCGGGGGGAGACAACCAAATTCGGGAACCGCTGCTCTAAAAGCGGACGAAAGGCGGCGTGCGCGGCCCTCCTCCCGCTTTGAATCCGATCCGAATCGTGGGGCAGGGGTTGGAAGGGCGGGAGGCCTCGCCGACCTCTCCCGTGTTATAATCCAAATTTGTGACCCAAATTTCCTTGCTTCCTCAGGAGAAGGCGGAGAAGGCCGCCCTGCAAGCCGAAGTGCAGACCCTACAGCAAAACACGCAGCGGCTGAAGGAGGCCTCGGAGACGGCCGCCGCGCGGCTCAGCCAGGTCACGCAAATGCTGGGCAGCCCCCCAACGCCGCCCCACTGCCCCTGACGTCTCCCGGAGCCGTCTCCTCTCCCTGCACTTCCTCCTCCTCCTCCTCACCCTGGTAGACCTCGGAGCAGGTCCCCTGTTTCGGCCGCTTCCACAATGGACGTGGGGCTGAAGCAAAGACATTTGACCAACCGGTTGTGTGGGTGTGTTTGTACCCCATTCCTCACCCCCGCACGCACACACACACCCCTAAAAGGAACTCTCTCTGTGTGAGTCGGCCTGGAGGGGTTGCCGGATATTTCAAGACGGGTCTGTTTCCCTCCCTCCGGCTCCCAAAAGCGGACAAGCCTGCGCCCTGGTTATTGAGGCGCAACCACCAGCTTCGTTTCCACATCTGGCGCGCCTTTCCTCATTCCCCGTGCCAGCCTGAGACCCTCTCCGGAAACCCCGGGCTGGAAATTTGTCGTCCTGCGTCCGTTTTTTTCCTACTCCGTGACTCTTTTGGTCCAGGGACGCTTCCTTCCTGTCACAGGGAGAAATAATAATAATAATAATAATTAAATTCTCCTTACCCTAAATATTTTGCTGCTTGAGGTGAATGATGGCATGCTCCCCATTCCATGTATAGAAGCTGAGGTAAACTAGCAGCTGGCTTCTTGTGACCCAAATTTCCTTGCTTCCTCAGGAGAAGGCGGAGAAGGCCGCCCTGCAAGCGGAAGTGCAGACCCTACAGCAGAACACGCAGCGGCTGAAGGAGGCCTCGGAGACGGCCGCCGCGCGGCTCAGCCAGGTCACGCAAATGCTGGGCAGCCCCCCAACGCCGCCCCACTGCCCCTGACGTCTCCCGGAGCCGTCTCCTCTCCCTGCACTTCCTCCTCCTCCTCCTCCTCACCCTGGTAGACCTCGGAGCAGGTCCCCTGTTTCGGCCGCTTCCACGATGGACGTGGGGCTGAAGCGAAGGCATTTGACCAACCGTGTGTGTGTGTGTGTGTTTGTACCCCGTTCCTCACCCTCGCACACACACGCACACACCCCTAAAATGAACTCTCTCTGTGTGAGTCGGCCTGGAGGGGTTGCCGGATATTTCAAGACGGGTCTGTTTCCCTCCCTCCGGCTCCCAAAAGCGGACAAGCCTGCGCCCTGGTTATTGAGGCGCAACCACCAGCTTCGTTTCCACATCTGGCGCGCCTTTCCTCATTCCCCGTGCCAGCCTGAGACCCTCTCCGGAAACCCCGGGCTGGAAATTTGTCGTCCTGCGTCCGTTTTTTTCCTACTCCGTGACTCTTTTGGTCCAGGGACGCTTCCTTCCTGTCACAGGGAGAAATAATAATAATAATAATAATTCACCAGGCAATAACTGCAGATCATCTCAGAGGCAGGGGAGAGCGAGGCGTGCCCGGTGGGTGATGTAAACACACACACCCCTTCCCCGAGTAGGCAGAGATGTCCAGGGGGAAGGTCGGAGCGTGGCCCGAGAGGTCCCTAGAGCATCTTTCCCTTTCCTCCTCCATCCCCTCCCAAATCCTAGCACTGGTTTGGGTGGCGGAGAGGGCTTTCCACCCTCCTCGCCTTTGCATGCCGAAGTAACTGTGAAGTTTCCTGTTTATTTTTGTTTTTTCCTTTGTAAAGCTGTGACATGACACCCCCTTTCTGTCCGTGGCGGGACCCCCCCTTCGTCTCTCCTTGTGACCTGTGGAGTCTTCCTAGTGGGGGCGATTGGGGGGGGATAGGGACAGTCCCGTCTCCTCCAATCCC